CGGTTAACACACCGCTCTCCCCTATGATGTGACCCCCTCTCTCTCTCTCTCTCTCTCTCTCTCTCTCTCTCTCACACAAACACACACACGATGCACAAAACTCCGCCTTTGAACAGTCAATTGCAAATACTTAAACTAATAATAAAACAGTCGCTGATTCAGACGCGCCAGACTGTCATAGCAAAGTCAGAATTACCTAGGTTTCTAGGTTTACGAAACAGTCGTCCATAAAATGCATTGCTGTTCTGTTGTAAGTAATCTTAAAGATTCCTAAATGCATCTACTTTCGGAAGGCCAAATAAAGTCAAGTCAAGTCACCTTTATTTATATAGCGCTTTTAACAATACAGATTGTGACAAAGCAACTGAACAGCATTAATTAGGAAAATAGTGTCAATAATGCAAAATGACAATAGTAAACACTCATTTTTCAGTTAAAGACAGTTCATCATTGAATTCAGTGATGTCAACATCCAGCTCAGTTTAAATAATATCTTTGCAATTATGTCAACGATAACGCTGGAAATGAAGTGTCCCCAACTAAGCAAGCCAGAGGCGACAGCGGCAAGGAACCAAAACTCCATTGGTGACAGAATGGAGAAAAAACCTTGGGAGAAACCAGGCTCAGTCGGGGGGCCAGTTCTCCTCTGACCAGACGAACCAGCAGAAAAAAAGTGCTTTTTAAAGTGCTTTTGCTTTCGCCTAGAAACACACAGCGTCTCCCTGACATGGCTGCATCAACACTAACTGCGGTTACTGAAACCACGCCTTCTTTCTTTGTGTGCACATTTGGGCGCATTATGCAAATATTTCCACATAGTTAGGTGGATATGTGGGGGCGTGTTAGAACAAGCCATTTTAGGGGGGCGTGGCAGAGTCTTAACTTTGATAAAGAATATCTCTTTGGTTTTGAGACTTTAGTCTTTGCAACTTCAAGGATCTTATCTATGCACAATCAGCTTGTAACACTCCAAAAAGAAAGGAAAACTTGAAATCGCATCATATGACCCCTTTAAAGAATGTGGGTAACCAAACCGTTTCTGTTCCCCATTGACTTCCATACAATTCTTTTGATCCTACTTTGAAAGTCAACCAGCAGCTATTGAAAATATCTTCTTTTATGTTCAACAGAAGAAAAAAACTCATGCAGGTTTGGAACTTGTTGAGAGTGAGTAAATGACAAAATGTTATTTTTTTTTGTGTGAACTGTCCCTTTAAGGGTTGTTCAGTCAGTAGAAGTATAATTGAGAAGTTTTTAGAGAGAATGAGCCTCCTGTAAGCTGTTAATAAGTGTGAAAAACAGGCGCCTTACACAGTTCCTGTCTCACCCTTCACACAGCATTACATTAGAGCCTTACCTGCAGCTTCAAGTGCTACTGTCTCAAAATAGCATTTCACAGTAAAAAAAACAAAACAGTAGTGTAAATGCTGCATTCCTTAATACCCACATTTCTTATTTTCCCTTTTTAGGATGGCATGCTGGTTCTGCATTTCGGACTCGTTCTACCTGCTCAGTAAAGAGGGAAGACACAGAAAGCTACTGTGAAAACTACATTGTGTAGTGGTTTTATTTCAAGAGCTAAACTGAATTTGATCATAACAGTTCTATGCAGTGATCCTTTGTCTTCCTGGTTACCTTGTGCTCAAACAGATTAAGAATATGTCAGCATTCTTTGAGCAAATGCATTAAGAGACATTAGAGCTACATCCAAAACATTAGCCATTTCCAGAAGATACTGTTTGTTTTTGTTTGATTGGTTGATTGATTTTTGGTTACAATTTCCACAACTGTAAAGGTTCTGTAAATTCTCTTTTATGTTTACTAAGAAAAGCACAAAGTAATTACACCTTGTTTCTGAGAATATATTGTTTTGACATGAATTTTATTGCTTAGTTTTGTTGTGCCTCTAGTTCAGCTGACAAAAAGTAAATCAGTACTTTGAAATAAATAATTCACTTAAGTACCTGGACAGTACCTACATTTTTAAGTGTTAAAAACTCTTAACTCTTACAAGGCGTTTAAGTGTTTGTGTCTTTGTTCATTTTAGATTGAAATTGTTATGTATTTGTTGAGCCATATTGTGTTATTACAAGGCCTTTGGGATATATATATGTCTTTTGCAATATTGTAACTGAAGTGTTCTTCATTTTTAAAACAGCTTTACAACTAAATGTTAAACTGTGCATGGCCAGACACATCCTGCATCATTGCATATAAACACTATGCAAATATTGTGTTCCGTTTCATTTAGTCATCTTTTTAGTTTTGGAAAATATGTTATGACCCACACTGATTTTGTGTTTGTGTGCTGCTGATTTCAAATTAAAACACTGTCTTATTATTGACACAAAAAATATTAGATTAGCCTAAATGTTAGGAAGCATCTTTCACCTCATGTAATGTTAGTCACCTGTATGGTTAAAGCCATTATCACAAACAACTCTGGAGAGTCTGAGGCTCAGTGTAAGAGAGAGAGGAAGGATAGAGAGGTGCTTCTCACTAACCCGTGGGGACTGTTGAAATTGGTTTCCAAGGAAACCGCCTCAAACACCCTGCATGATTTCATGCCTGCATGCTACATCACATTAAGGTTCAGATATTGTTTATGACAGTGTAGGATTGCAGGTACATGCTTGTTTAAATCTAAGCCTAGCTAGTTAGCGTTCAGTTTATGTTGCTTTTTAAGATTTTACTAGTGAGAATATAATAGTAACCACTGATGTGTCTAATTTAATGTATCTCTATGGCTCTTTTTACCTTATTTTTTGATTCAGTGCTGTCTTGGTGATTATAAAGGGAATTTACTGACCCTTTTCTAACAGGACAGTGACTCTTGAAAGGGCATCTGCCATATTTTTCAGTGATTGACAGTCGGAACAACACAAAGCAGAATCAATGTGACTGAGTGGAGGGGAGGATATAATCAATCATATCTTTAAATTCTCCCTCTATTTTTTGTGGAGAAAGAAGGAATCCATTAGCCTTTAGATAGGAGGTTATCTTTCTGACACTGAACAGGGTAATGCAATTTAGAGGATTACATAAACACTCATTTTTAAGAGTTTGGGGCCAGTAAGATTTTTCTGTAACAATTTTTTTTTTCAACAGATATATTTACATTTCAAATAAATACTGTTCCACAGATTCCACAAAAATGTAAGGCAGCACAGCTGTTTTCAATATGAATAGTAATAATAATAAATGTACTTTAGCACAACATCAGATCAGAATGATTTCTGAAGGATCATGTGACACTGAAGACTTAGCATCGTCATCACAGGAATACATTTCACTTTCAAATATACTGAATTAAAACAGTTATTTTAAATGAAACTCATTAAGTTCAGTGTAGTAGCATTAAAAGCATGCACATTTAATGATATGGGACAGATAAGATTAGTGATGTTGAGAATTATTTATGAATAAAAACAAAAACATTACTAAAAACATTTCCATTATTGACTTTATTGTGGTTAAGGCATACATGTGTAACAGTTAATTCAGTGGTTTGGTCCCTTATTCGTAATATGCCATAGTGCTTTCCAACAAACTTTGTGCTTTCTTTTTATAAATGTGAATTTATCCATAATCATTGGATCAGTGCTAATGCTGGCTATATCTTAGTCATCCCTTAATACTGAAGTTCATATTTATACCCCTAACACCATCAACAGGACTAAAATACTCTCTGAAACTACAATTAAGAAACAGGAAATATTTGAGGCCTAAGTTCTAAAATATTAAACCACCATTTTGTAGATATGGTTTTTGAAACATTATATCACCATTACAATATCTTAAACATGTTACCAATTACTATAAACAACAACTGGCAGTTTTTAGCTAATAGCAGTGATTACTGTGCCAAACGCCCAAAAGACTGCTGGGAAATTATCTAGAGAAGCATAGGTTTAATAACCATAACAATCTAGTTTGAGTTAACATCAACATTATCACTCTTTTCTGCTTTCTTAATCACAACGGTTTCTGCTGTGTTTTCTTCTCGCTTATCTCCTGCCTTGGGTTTGCCGTGTCCCTCTTCTTCTTTCTCTTTTTTGGGATTGCGGGTTGAGGTGAAAGCAGAGCGGCTCTGATACCCATAAGTGATGCTGGGTGTGCTGGAGAAAGTCACCCCGGAACTGAAGTGGGTTTCTTCACCTTCCAGTAGCTTTCTATGAGGACATCAATGACGACTGGTCAGTTCTTATTCATTTTCATTCTCATTGCATTAGTTATTTTTAATGTGCAAATAATGTGGAGTTATTGGTGCTTTACCTGTATGCTGCAATTTCAATGTCTAACGCCATCTTGACGTTCAGAAGATCCTGATACTCCCGGAGGTGACGGGCCATTTCACTCTTAGTATTTCTAAGATCAAGGTCCAGCTGCCCAATTGTTTCCTAGTTAATGGGATTTAAAATATATAAATCAATATTAGCCTTAGTACAAAAATATTCTGAAGTCATAAAAGTCCCTGTCATAAAATAAAATTCTTATAAAGAAATGCAACACATTGAAAGCAGCTTGGACTTTTCTCATTCACATGACCATTAATTAATTTAGCTCAGCACCTAAATTAGATCTTTCTTATAAAAGCTGATGTGAACCTTTATCTCTTGGCATTGACTGGCTGTCTCAGCATAAAGTTCAAAGAAGCTAATCTGATTTACACTGGCACTTCTTTCACTTTCAATAGATTAAAGGTCAAGGTCATGTCTCTGAAAAACCTCAAGCCAAAATTATTTGGATACTTTATATGTCAGCATGCGTAATGTTCACATTTGTAAATCATCTAACTCATCAAGAAGTTCTAACACATCAATATAAACATAAACTGAGGTTATCATTTGGATTTCTTGAACATGACCTTGCAGAAACCTCCCTTGCAAAATCCTCTTTAAGAGACTCTTCTTAGTGGAATTAATCTCGGCCACCTCTCATATGCGATTAGTTCAGCACCATGGACAGAGCACTCAGCTACTTGACAAGCCATTTCAAACCGTTTCAGTCCTGTCCTGTGGTATAATTCACAGTTCTTCTAATTATTAAATTTACATTTTTCATGAGATCCTAATATGAATTGCCTGATTACATTAAATATGTATACCTTTACATTTCTGTCATGCTGCAGGACTATTAAAAACAACTAAGGCAAAGGTTGATTAAAAATGATGAAAACCAGCCAGAGCACATGCTTTCCTTTATATATTCATATAAACACAAAATAAATGTAAATATATAATATAATTATAAAATAAGTAAAAAGACAAAAACGTCTAGGGGATTCTTCAAGAATAATACAATATTGCTACCTATAAAGACAGACAGACAGACGATAGATAATTTTTTTCTCTTTTTTTTTATTAAATTGTGTTACATTTTCATAATATGATATGTAATCATCAATCAAAAATCAATTTTTATGTGTCTACCTGATAAGCTGCGACCTCGGCATTGTGTGCATCTTCCATCTCGCGGATCTGTCGCTCAAGTGACTCGTTTGTGCCTCGCAAGGTTTCGATTTCAATGGTTTTGGACTGTAGTTGTCGCCTGTTGTCGTTGATCTCCTCTCTTGTGGCTCTCATGGCCTCGTTGGTTCTGGTGGCCTGTTCGTTGAGGCTGGCGAACTTTGATTTGTACCATTCCTCAGCAGACTGCAGGTTCTTAGACGCGAGGGTTTCATACTGCCCGCGGATCTCTTTGAGGGCCGAGGTCAGATCCGGCTTGGATAACTCCACTTCCACAGATATCTGGGCCGCCTGGATCATACTAGTCAACTCCGTCACCTCTTCATCATGCACCTTCCTCAGAAAATTGATCTCGTCCAAGAGGGACTCGACCTTTCTCTCCAGGTCCACGCGCACCATGGTGGCATCCTCCACATCTTTCTTGTAGGATCTGAGCGTCTGCTCTGCCTCCTCGCGCACTCGGATCTCATCCTCAAACTTGCCTCGAAGTTTCTGCAAGTCTTCCTCGATATTATCTCGTTCAATGAGAATGTGCGATTTTTCATTGTTCAGCTCGTCCACCTGGGCTCGCAGATCCCGGATCTCTTGCTGATAGAGGTCAGCGAGTCTGGACGGCTCGTTCTGCCTCTGGCGCAGACTCACGAGTTCGGTCTCCAGCACTTTATTGTGCTGCTCCAGATTGCGCACCTTCTCGATAAACATCGCGAAACGGTCATTGAGACCCTGCAGTTGTTCCTTTTCATTGGTTCGGACGATTTTAAACTCGTTGTTTAACACAGCTGTTTGAGAGAAATCCACGCTGTCGAAATGCACCGGCGAGAAGGACGATGACCGGCCCGATCTCTTGTAGTAGCCCGCTGGAGAGGCGCTGCTGCGGGAGAGAGAGTGGGACCTGAAGCCGCTGGAAGACATGGAGCTCCGTGAGGAGACATTGCTCATCCTAGGGGTGGAACCGGTGAAACGAGGGGTTTCCCCGAATATCTTTCTATAGGATGAGGACATGTCTGATCCGTAACTCATCTTCGTCACAACTAAAGGAGTCTAAAATGGGTGTGCTTGCCATTATATACCCGGCGGACTGTCCCATTCAACAGTCTGTCATGTTCCCACTGGTGGTGACAGTTTAAGATGAGAATAAACCTTTTCATACCATTAAAACATTCAGTTAATTGTAATGTTTTTAACAGGTTTGTTTGACATTTGCACACAAAGGACAGATTTTTGGGCCGCTTAAACTGTTATTTGTCGATGGAACTGTCCAGGTTTGCGCAGGGTTGAATGGACCCGAAATTTAACAGTTAAATCGATTTAGGCTTGATGTAAGATCTTGTTTGGATCCCGAATTTGTTTTAGATGCCCATGCAATTTTAGACTGCATTACAAACAAAAAATACTCCAGCCCAGTAGTTTAATTCACAGAATTTACTTCCTTTACAATATTTACAACCAACAAACCAATTGGTCTCCCAGAATGACCAGATGACAAGTGCCCAAAACTAATTTTTAATACAACAATTTCATTAAAATAAATAAATGAATAAATAATTAGTCATTGTCCTTAGAAAAAAAGCAACATAAACCAGCCCAGAATTGTTTGCTGGTTTTAGATGGTTTAAGCTATAAGCTTTCTAAAAACAGCAAACAGACAAAAGGTTTGGGAAACCGTTGGAAAACAGACTGGTTTAAGATTTTTTTTGTTTGTTTTTTGCCAGTAGGGTTAAAATATATAGGCTAAAATATTCTTATAATATGTACAACATCATTTCCAGTCATTTTTAGAATCATTTTTCATGAACAAATATGTTTAAATGTAAATTGTCTTCAGTCCTCCACCCAAAATTTCTACGTCTAAAAAAGGAAGAATTATTTGTCTAATTGTTTCATAAAAATGTATTTGGCTATTTGTGTTTTTTGAGTTCTGACATGAAATGTTCTAAACGCAGTCTAAAGTTGACAACCAATAGATGGCGATATTTCTCTTCCAAAAATGCTTTTTTTGTGTTTGTTTTGTAATATGTCTGTTCACTAGATACGCATTACTGATGGAATACAAATACATCCTTTTACAGTAATTTTATTAATGTCACTGTCAACAGACATTAAATAAAATAAATAGGAAATAAAATTAGACCTAATGTTTTTTTTTACTGTGACGTTAGTTGTATTGTGTGGCTTTTAAATTCATGATTCTTTTCAGATTAGATTGTGTAATCTATTATATGACATTACTTCCACAAACGATCAGCGTTTAAGCATTCATATGAATTGTATTTAAATGAGGTTTTAATGTTGCTTTGAATCTCATCATGGTTGGATGGTTTGCGCATGCGCAGTATGCAGATAGCGCAGAACTGCAGTTGTTGGTCACTGACTGAAGGAGGTGAGGTAAGTAGCCTACTGACACTGAGCGGAGACATAACGCGTTTCAAAAAGCAGTAGTTATGTCATTTAAATGTTGCAGAATAACTGTGTATATGAGAGTTAAAGCGATAATCGTTAAGGCAGTTTCCTCCATCTTATGCATTAGTTTCCGGTTGATCAAAACTAAAGGAATGTTAGTTAACGTTAGCTGTGGTGCTAACTTTACCATCACGGAACTGCATGAACAAGAGGAAAGATCTGCTCGCATGTATGCAGATCACCTGCAGGACTATTGTGCATCAATTAAATGTGGTGGAAATTTAACCTCCGAGATACTAAACCAGTGCTGCGTATATTCAATTTCACTGTGTTCTGCTGTCTGTCTGCACTTGCTTTCTTTCTCAGACTTATATCGGTTAAAGATGACAACCTCTTGGAGTGATCGGCTCCAGAATTATGCAGAACTTCCTGCCAACATGGACGGTTTATCCATGAAGAAGTACAGAAGAGAGGTGCATCACAGGTACTAATACATTTCACTAATGCTTTCAGCTTTGAAGGCCATTGCCGTTATATTGGTTAAATCAGATTGTGTACTATTTTGGTAACTTGAAAACAAATCCATTGTCATATACCTACATTTAAACAAGACAAAAAGACCATATATTTTTCTTGTAGCAACAGTTGGAGAAAATGACCTTAAATGACCTGGTCTCCACTCCAGTTGAGATTATGGTCAATAATGAAGACCTGACTTCATTGAGATATTTAAATTTTATGTGCACACAATGCCTTTGAGTAGATAGAAAACATAAGTTTAAGTCTCCAAAAGAAATTGTAGACTCGTAGTTTTTTTTATTTAAAATTGAATATGGCAAGTAGCATGTTTACTGTTGCCATGCCATTATGTTGTTCTGTGGATGCACTTGTTTATATGTCCGTTTGTCTGTCAAAATCTGTCGGCTTCATTGTTGAAAGTATGTCAGCTTGCATGTGATTTAAGCAAAAGTTGTGTATTGTAATCTTTTTGCTCAATCAAAAGAATGAATTGTTTTATCACTGTGCCCAGCTATTAAATATTTTAAAGTATTAAAAAAATCCTTTTAAATTATCATTCTAACAGTCTATATGCACATAATGATTCTCATATCCCATGTTTTAGTAGGCTATATTTACTTTAGCCTTTTGGCAGGTTAATTTGGCATGTCAGCATAATACTTGCAAGTTCTTAAAATGCTGTTTGTCATGGCAAACCGTCATTTCATAAGAGCAATCCTTATTTACATGCAGACTATGCTATAAATGTGTTGACTTATAGTTTTCTGCAGAAAAACCAACATGGCAGTCACAAAGTGCAATATTAAAAAAAAACAAAAAGTGAATCCAATGGTAAGAAGACCTGAAATGTCATTTATAAGCATACTGGACACAGTTCTTAATGTAGTAGCATTAGCCAGTGTGTACTGATATAACATACAGTCCATGTATTCCTTTATTACAAAGCTTACCACAGGAACTGGCCCACTGTCATCCTTCTATGAGGTATGCTAAAGTTTTGTTGTTGACCTGCAGTGCTGACTGATCATCTGTTTTGTAATTGATGTTTTTTTTCTCCCATGTACTCATCACAGCACAGCACTAAACATACAAGATGAACAAAACCATCAATGCTTTTGCACTGTGCTGTGACTGTATGTAGGTGTCCATAGGAAGACCTGTGATGGGATTTGAATCTGTGATATCATTCCTTCATTCTCCCTTCACCTAGCTATATTTCCTTCCTTCATGCCCTTAACACATCATTTAACAGCTCATTTGTTCCTTGCTACATTTTTAATGTTTTACTGCAAATGTATAGTTGAATAAAGATGTTCTAGCATCAGGTGAATTAAAAGAAAAATAATTGTTTTAACATCATTAAGAAAAATAACTGACCGTAACACAATTTTAAGCCACGTGGAAGACAATAACATATACTTGATTTAAACTTAAAAATACTAAATTTTATGTAGCAAGCTTTTTACTGTTTTATCTCTTAACTGTAATTTATAAGTCTCAAAGGTGGAAGTATTTGTATTAAAGTGCATATTTTGGTTTATTAATAATAACTGTTCATGTACTGCTATTATTTTTCATGTATCAGTTTACATATATTAACTAGATGAGTGGTGTCAATGTTTTCAGGAAAAAAAAATAAAAGTCAGAAAAACATGCTTTTCAGGTTTGTAAAACAGATGTGTTCAGCAGACTATGAAGTTGCTTTTCCTGATTTTTAAAAAATGTGTTTTATTTACCATTCTGTTTTTGGTGTGTCTTGAAACAGTGTCAGTCATTACCACCCAAAAAACTTGATTTAACTGGAAATCAAGGAATATTACCATGCCATTTGCTCCACTTCATACTTTGCTGCTGTTGGCCGAAATAGGAATATATATAATTTAACCAAATGTATTAATTCTTATGTATTGCTTTCACAGGTCACAATACGTCAGTGTAACTCATTATCTACACTAACATAAACGCCTTTAGAGCTGAACAGCTCACGGATTGTGCTCAATGCAATGGAATAATACAGTCTGCTGAATTTAACACAGTTTGCAACTGAGAGAATATTAAATATCATTGGCATTTGACTTAAATCGACTGTTTTTATCTCCGCAGAGTTTTTGTCAATAGAAGTTTAGCAATGGAGAAGATAAAATGCTTTGGCTTTGATATGGACTACACTCTAGCAGGTAAGATGAAGTATGTGCTGCCTCTAAAACAGATGAGGTCTGCATGGTGCCTTGTTGTGCAGTGTCATTTATAAAGTAAGTTCAAAAGAATTGTAAAGCATTGCGACATGGTAACACCATAGCATGATACTGTAAGGTAATCCTTGGTCTCATGTATTTGGTGGTGTCATGGCTCTGTAAATAGCACCCCTGACTTCAGCTGGCTCATGTCAGGCACATGAGTTCTTGCACGTAAAGCTCTAAACGAGATGAATGGGTGCATTGACATCCATGATATAAAATGTGGTCCTTTTGATTGGTCATCTTCCTGGTTATGGATCTGTAATGATAAAGAGTGCTAATCTTCACAGGAAAAGGTTTTAAGTTCTGTTGCCAGCACACAGCCTAATATTAACAGCAAGTATGAGCTGCTTAGTCTGCTAGATCAATGTGCATGTGCTGTGTAACTCCCTTCTAATTGCAGAGCAGTGAATGTGCTTACTTTGGCAAGTATTTCAGCAGAAGTGAAAAAAAGTGAAGAGTGCACAACAATTTTGACTCCCATTTAGTTTAACTTTTATGCTAATAAGACCATGCTGGTCAGTAAAAGTGTGATATCTTTGGGGAAATGTTCATTCAGCTGATCTGGCTAATTTTGTTTTGAGGTCCAAAGAGGTTTCTTGCAACATGCATCATATTAATACAGATGTTTTGCCTATAAAGTTCCTGAAAACGGTCTGTTCACTTAAACCTTTTTGCTTCTATAGAAAATGAAGCAGTTTAGCTCTGGTTTAGTAGGCTCCTTGAGAGGGTTGTCTCTTGAACAAGAAGCCACAGTTTCTCACTACTCAGTCATTCAGTTTTTCTAATAAGTCCATTTCGACTTGGGAATTTAAATGGCTTCTAACCAGTGTCTCATACTTTACCAACAAAGGAAGGAAATGGATCATTTGGCAACAGTTCATTTTGATATACACTACTGTTCAAAAGTTTGAGGTCAGTAAGATTTTGTTATTGAAAGAAATTAACAGCTATATTCAGCAAGCACACGGTAAAATTGAGCAAAAGTGACAGTAAAGACATTTACAATGTTACAAATATTTATTTTTAAAATAAATGCTGTTCTTTTTAACCTTCTGTTCATTCTGAAAAAAATGTATCATGGTTTGCACAAAACTATTAAGCAGCTCAACTGTTTTCAGTGTTGATAATAATAAAGTCATTTCTGAAGAATCATGTGACACTGAAGACTGGGGTAATGGCTGCTGAAAATTCAGCTTTTCCATCACAGAATTAAATCTTCAAATAGAAAATAGTTATTTTAAATTGTAATAATATTGAACAATTTTGCTGTTTTTTCTTTTGATCAAATAAATGCAGCCGTGTTGAGTATAAGAGAATTCTTTCAAAAACATTAAAAATACTTACAGACCCTAAACTTTTGAACGGTAGCGTATGTGATCGCATTTTCATCACTTTGTTTTCTTCTCTATTAATAGTATATAAGTCTCCGGAGTATGAATCTCTTGGCTTCGATCTGACTGTGGAAAGACTGGTTTCCATTGGTTACCCACAAGAGCTGCTAAACTTTGTCTATGACCCTGCTTTTCCCACAAGGTGATTTGAAAGATCATTTTCTAACATGCTTTTCTAACTGTATTTTTACTTCATATTTTGATTCACGTAAATTCTGTACATCTCGCAGAGGCTTGGTGTTTGATACAATGTATGGAAACCTGCTGAAAGTAGATGCATATGGAAACATCCTTGTGTGCGCTCATGGTTTTAGCTTTCTGCGTGGGTGAGTCTGCACTCATAATTTAAGAGCAACTGATGCCCTGGATAGTGATCACTTTGTTTGTGCATTCATTCTTCTGCCGTAAAAACTTAATTTGTAGAATTTTTATGCTAGTGAAGCAAAAAAAATTATTACAAAAATTGTTTGGAAGAACATGCACTGGTGAATCAATAAGACAGTAACGATGCATTAAGGAAGTAAATAGTGTCACTTATCATTTTATGTAGATGTTACGGGGTTAGTCACACCTCCAGCAAATGTCATAATTTGTGTTTTTCAACTGTGTATTTTAGTCCAGAGATAAGAGAGCTGTACCCAAACAAGTTCATTCAGCGTGGAGATACTGAGCGATTCTACATCCTCAACACACTTTTCAACCTCCCAGGTTAAAATCTTCTATCAACTAATATCCAAAATCCAAAAGAATATGTAGAATCCATAGTCCATGTCCAAGTTAATACAGTTTGTTTTTGTGCTTTATTAGAGACATACCTCTTTGCCTGCCTGGTTGACTTCTTCACTAGTTGCTCCAGATATAGAAGGTTTGTTTTTGCGCCCTCATTTTAACACTTCTGTTGTTCCTCTGGCATGAAAGTACAGTAGACTATCTGAATTGGCATTTTATATGACCTTTTGATTTTTGCCTCCACAGTTGTGAGACTGGCTTTAAAGATGGAGATCTTTTCATGTCTTTCAAGAGCATGTTTCAGGATGTCAGAGATGCTGTGGATTGGGTCCATTTCAAGGTAAAGGCTATTTTTAAGTGCCAAAATATACTTTTCTTTGAAAGAAACAGCCTTTCTTGACTTAATATACAGTAGATTTCATACTACTGCTGGGAGCTAAAGGAAAGGACATCTTGTACATCGGTGACCACATCTTTGGAGACATCCTGAAGTCTAAGAAGCGTCAGGGCTGGAGAACGTTCCTGGTGATTCCTGAGCTGGCTCAGGAGCTGCATGTGTGGACTGACAAGAGCAGTGAGTCTGTGACAGGGTTATTATAGTTAATGCTCATTACTTGAAATAATATAAACATCAACTGAAATAAAAACAACAACAAAAACATTTTTCATTTAATTCAGCTAGTTGGCAAAGCTACATTTCTCATTTTCATTTAGTTTAACTAAAACTGAACTATATAGACATAAAAAAAAAACAATATTACTAAAACTTTAAAGAATAGTTCACCCCAAAAATGAAAATTTGCTGAAAATGGTCTCACCATCAGGCCTACCAAGATGTAGTTTGTTTCTTAATTGGAAAAGATTTGGATATATTTAGCATTATATTACTTTCTCATCAATGGATCCTCTGAAGTGAATGGGTGCCGTCAGAATGAGCGGTCAAACAACTGTTAAAAACATCACAATAATCCTCAACGAATCCATCTAATTATTCTACATCTTGGATGGCCTGAGGGTGAGTAAATTGTAAGCAAATTTTAGTTTTTTGTTTAAACTGCTTCATTCAACTAAATTTGAAACGAAAACAGAAAATGTAAAAATAAAAACTAATTCAGTGTATATATATATATATATATAAAAAAAAATCGTATTGATACTAAAATGACAGTGATCCGTGCAGCCTGCAGACACGCATTATGCTCAGTTTAATGGGCATGGGAGCAGATGAGGACAGCTCACTGTGTTCTCTTTTTTTTGCAGCACTGTTTGAGGAACTACAGAGTCTGGACGTTTTCCTGGCAGAGCTCTACAAGTAGGTATCATCCGTCAACTCTTGCTCGGATGTTTGCACCGCTGCCATCAGTGCACATGAGTGCTATCAGTCAGTCAAGCACTCGCTTACCCGGAGAAGGACACGTCGCTCCCTCCCTGCTGTCTGCAGCCATTTGACATGCAGATAAAGGGGTGCACATTCCTTTCTATTTTAAGACTGATGGTTCACGTCTTTTATTACTTTAACTCGTTCGACACTGTTCTCAACCCACATCTATTTGTCCTGCCATTTTCTCCATCCTTTTTCTTTTGTCCACAGGCATTTGGACAGCAGCAGCAATGAGAGACCTGATATCAGCTCTCTTCAGAGGAGGATTAAGGTATATATCTTGATGCATAGGAAAGCAGTGCACTGTGTACTGAGAATATTGTCAGTGAAGTCACTTTGCTGTGGAGAAAAATCAATTTTTAAGTATTTTCAAATTTTCGACAGGATTTTTTAAAGGATTAGTTCACTTCCAGAATAAAACTTTCCTGATAGTTTACTCACCCCTATGTCATCCAAGTTGTTCAAGTCTTTCTTTCTTCAGTCAAAAAGAAATGAAGGTTTTTGAGGAAAACATTCCAGGATTTTTCTCCATAGAGTGGACTTGGTTGAAGGTCTAAATTGAAGTTTCAATGCAGCTTTAAAGGGCTCTACACGATCCCAGCCGATGAATAAGAGTCTTATCAAGAGAAACGATCGGTCATTTTCTAAAAAAAAAAAGTAAATAAAAATGTGTATACTTTTTAACTACAAATGCTCAATAGTTGGTGGGAAAAGTGCATGAAAGTTGTCCAAAGCAGCATGGGAGAAATTGACATTAATATTTAATAAAAAAAAAAAAAAGGCACTTTATAAGGTATGTATATCAACCAAACAGTGTGCGACAGAGAATATAATAACAATATTTAAAAATATTTATTTTGATGGAATAGGTTAGGGTTACATCAACAGATGTAATTACACTATCATTCAAAAGTTTGGGTTTGAGATTAAGATTTTTTTTTTATAGAAGTCTCTTATGTGCACCAAGGCTGCATTTATTGGTTTAATAACCTGTTAAAACTAATATCATGAAATGTTATTACAATTTAAAATAATTGCTTTCTATTCAAATGCATTTTAAAATTTGTTGCTTGAGTAACATTTCTTCTTATCAATGTTGAAAACGGTTGTGCTGCCTTACTACTTTGTGAAACCCGATACATTTATTTTTTTCAGGACTCTTTGTTGACAAAGTTTGGATAAACACCATGTATTTAAAATAGAAATCTTTTGTAACAATATAATGTCGTTTTTGATCAGTTTAATGCACACGTTTTTCCCATCACTTAATTTAAACTCAGTTTTGCGCTGTTTCTGTATTTCTGATTTTCTCAGAAAGTTACCCATGACATGGACATGTGCTATGGGATGATGGGAAGTCTGTTCCGCAGCGGTTCTCGTCAGACTCTCTTTGCCTCTCAAGTGATGCGTTACGCTGACCTGTACGCTGCGTCCTTCATCAATCTCCTGTACTACCCTTTCAGCTACATGTTCAGAGCTGCCCATGTCCAGGTAAACTCAACAAACACACTGTCTAACACAGGTGGGCAAACTTGGCCCTTCCAGGCCACTTTCCTTCAGAGGTTAGCTCCAACCCTAATCAACCTTTTAATAAGATTGGGATACTTTTGATAAAAAAAAAATCAGGATTATACTGATCTCAGCAAAATGGTGGATTTGAGGAATAAAAATGTACATTATATATAATATATGCTGTACATTATATATGCAGTATATATAGACATTAGGCTACCTCTTAAGCCTTTTAGTCGCTTACAGTAATGTAAAAAAAAAGAGAGATCTTGGTGCCAAATAATTCCCAAACAACTGTCAATATCAAGCAGAAATATTATATTTCATTTAAAGATCATGGGTTCGATTGCCAGCAAACTGAAGATGCATGAACTGATAAAAATTCTTCTGATAAAAGCATCTGCCAAATGCATATATGTAAATGACCTCAAATTTTGTACGTGCATTCCACAACATTAAAGTGTCGACACTTTGCAGGCATTTTCATTATATTATATGAGAAAAAAAGTCACAAAAAATAAATAAATTGGGTTAACCAGTATTTCCAATAACTCAAAAATTGAAATGGGTCAAATTGACCCCCAAGTTTCCCAACATAAGGGTTGGTAATTGCTTCAAAACAGTTTAGGCCAATTAAAATCTATTAATTTTCTGTTTTAAAAAAATCGTAGTCAATATTGAGTAAAAAAAAAGTGCTCATTTTTTTTTTATCAATTTCCTGGTTAAAACCAGTGTTAAACATTCAATAAATAAATATGCAGGCAAACAAAGTTGTCAAACAGTTTTATTATAGCAATTTCCATCTGCATTATAACTTTTAATAAGATTGGGATACTTTTGATTAAAAAAAAAATCAGGATTATACTGATCTCAGCAAAATGGTGGATTTGAGGAATAAAAATTTACATTATATATAATATATGCTGTACATTATATATACAGTATATATAGACATTAGGCTACCTCTTAAGCCTTTTAGTCGCTTACAGTAATGTAAAAAAAAAAAGAGATCTTGGTGCCAAATAATTCCCAAACAACTGTCAATATCAAGCAGAAATATTATATTTCATTTAAAGATCATGGGTTCGATTGCCAGCAAACTGAAGATGCATGAACTGATAAAAATTCTTCTGAATATGCAGGCAAACAAAGTTGTCAAACAGTTTTATTATAGCAATTTCCATCTGCATTATATATATATATATATATATATATGTATATTTAAATCTGATATAGCATTGTCTGTTTTATAGTATGTAAGCATACAATACTCTCTGATTTATACACTATCTCTATACACATTCAAGATTGAAAATAGCAGCAGTGTATGACAGACTCAAACCGCATGTTAGAGCACCACATTTCTGAAGACGTTTCCTCTTTTCTAAGGCAGGCGATCCAACGTGAAAACACTGATCTGATCTGTAGGACATCACCAAATGCTTTAAGTGAAATGAACAAGCGTTCCTCTTTAACACAATGTGAAAAAACTGGAATAAGTAGTAGATGTAACAGAAGAACAGGAATGCTGACCGAAGCCTTTGTTAGTGTTCAACAATCACTATTTCACATCTCAAGCCCCTTAACAGTAGTTGTGTTAATTGAACAGACTTACTCTACCTCTCAGTCTCATTACATTAAATTCTGCTAGTTTACTTTAGGATATTTTGTCCTACCTGTGAGCACATTAATTGGTCATGATTGTCCCTGCATAGCTGTTGCACTATTGCACTGAGAGGTTGCTACATAAACACTTGTGGGTTAACCAGTATTTCCAATAACTCAAAAATTGAAATGGGTCAAATTGACCCCCAAGTTTCCCAACATAAGGGCTGGTAATTGCTTCAAAACAGTTTAGGCCAATTAAAATCTATTAATTTTCTGTTTTAAAAAATCGTAGTCAATATTGAGTAAAAAAAAAAAAGTGCTAATTTTTTTTGTATCAATTTCCTGGTTAAAACCAGTGTTAAACATTCAATAAATAAATATGCAGGCAAACAAAGTTGTCAAACAGTTTTATTATAGCAATTTCCATCTGCATTATATATATATATATATATATATGTATATTTAAAATAATTACAGTCTGGCTCGCGAGAACGCCGGTCTGACGCACGGGTTCTCGCATTATTTCCTTATCACTTCTCGTGTGTGTTTTGTTGTGAAACGTAGTTTGCGGACCAGACAGAGCTGTGAACAGGAATGCTGACCGAAGCCTTTGTTAGTGTTCAACAATCACTATTTCACATCTCAAGCCCCTTAACAGTAGTTGTGTTAATTGAACAGACTTACTCTACCTCTCAGTCTCATTACATTAAATTCTGCTAGTTTACTTTAGGATATTTTGTCCTACCTGTGAGCACATTAATTGGTCATGATTGTCCCTGCATAGCTGTTGCACTATTGCACTGAGAGGTTGCTACATAAACACTTGAGATGTGAATGTCCTGATATCCAGCGGCTTTACGCATCTGACAGGAGCGTCTCAGGAGGTTCTGATAAAAAACTAAAACAAACAGTCAGCGGATAAAAACATCAGCCAGAGATTCGTTCCCCTTTGTAACAAGAGCGTTAATGTAATCCTAAACCAAATAAATACATTAATGCTGAATTATTTTCCTTTTTTATCGGTTTTAAATTCAGTAAATCATCAAGTACCTCTTTTACAATCCCATGACATTGAGTCCTACATGAATAGCTTTTCAAAAAATAATAAGATAAAAGCGCAATAGTGGAATCTGGAAGATAAGATATAAGTTACAGTGTAAGTTCCTTAAATAGTGTCTTTGAGGTCCTAAATGCAGCTAGCAACTATCTGAAGAAAGGTAGTTGTGACATACAAAATGTTTCTTTTAAAAATTAAGAGTTACGTGATTACAACAAAAGCACTGAAAACCAAAAACGTATCATTAATAAAGAGTGGTCCGACTTACGTAAAAATGGAACCAGTCATGAGACGTATACTCTATTCACCTTAAAATAGGTGATGCTGTACCTCAGCACAATCAAGATTGACGTAAAAAATCTCTCTTTCTCTCTCTCTATATAGATGAAAAAGGCCCTTATATGTAAACACATTTGATTTCTTTGTACTGCGAATGCTGTACGTAGCACATCTGCACGTGAAGTTAACCTGGGCAGGAGAAATCGCTGAAATCGTTGGCGGTGTTATTTGGCACAGTCCAGACAAACACCATTTTGCCTGCTTATGCGTGTCGTGTCCGAGGCTGCTGTTTTTGTAACAAATTCTCGCAAAGGACCCACAATTATGCCGCCTGTTTTATCCTGCCTATGTCAAATGTCTTTGGTCGTGAGGCCTCTTCTGATAGGCTGAGATGTATTCTGGCTTTTCTTGAAGGGCTTGGGGATATTGATGTCCATGTTTACAAGCCTCCCGGTCACTGAGATCTCATCTGTGGCTGCATCTGCTCAGGCTTCCTGGGTCAAATGGAAGATTTACAAGACCTCCGTGTGGCCCGGGCCCCTCGGGGGCCTCCTTTGTTGACAGTAACCGAGCGCTGTCTAAAGGCACCGTTATTTCTTTGTCCTTCTGGTATCGTGTCTGATCAAGGTGTGGTGTGGGTCGTCACCTTGCTCCTTCGAAGTGAAAGTGTGTATTTCAAGTGTGTCCGTCCTCGATCGAATGAGCGAGTGAGAATTATGTGGTGGTCCCTGACTGATCCGCTGCCTACAAAAGGTGTTAAGGTCATTAGTGCATGCATTGTGGGATATGCGGCCCTTCACATTGTAGTCTTTGCGTACGTTCCCCTTTGAAATCGACCGTGATGAGAGGAAGTGAAGCTGCCCAGTGTATGAGAAGGCCTCTCGCTCAGTACGTGACAAGGGAGAGGCTAACGGAGTCGTTTGCGCTCTTTTGCCATCTCTCTTTGCAGAGGGTGGTTAAATTCCCCCGTCATTGTGAGCGGTGTGGTTGGGTTTGTGTGCGTTGGTGGTCAAAAGAGTGGCCGACTCGTCCAACGGTCCATCCTGATGCTCTGTGAAGGTCAGCTCGATCTTGGTGAACTCGCTGTCTGTGGACTGGGGCGTCTTGTCCATGCGAGATGCCATAAGGGCGTTCTGATATTGCTGGCGGGTCACCTGACAGAGAGGAAGAAGAAGAATTAACGAGACATAGTTATACTGGTCTATTTTGGATTTTTGTAATGTGGTGCTGCTAATATCTGTAATTAATCACATGCGGTTGTATTTTTATATAATTTTAAGTTGCTTTGAATAGAAGCATCATGGAAATTCACACCGATATTTTCAGATTTCGATTTTTTTGAGTCAAGTGGATTTCAAAAGCGCTGAACTATATAGTCACTAAATTATGGCTGCAAGTCGTTTCAAGGAAACTTCAGACTTTTTAGTTTTTTTAATGGGTTGTGTAAGTTAACATGTTAAATGAAAATATCAAATATGTGTAACTATAATTTTTAACACATCTACCAAATTTAATTGTTAGTTTCAGCTTTCTAAAGACAAAAACAGATAGATGAATCATTGTTGTTTTATTTTCATATCATTATTTGATTCTATTAACAGGTTTAATTTTTAACAGTAAGAAATAAAAAACTAAATCTGTTCCTAGGTTCTTATGACATTTGTTCAGAAATCTTTCAGTTGTTAATACCAAGTAAATAATTTCCAGAAAATATTTTAATCATTTGCTTAGCTCTAGTACAGGGATTCTCTAAACAAACCCGTCTCATGTGAAATATTTACTTATACAAGTACATATAATATATCACAAAACTGCATGTTCACAGGTTCTCTGATGTCAGTTAATTGTCACAAGATATGCAAGTACACTAATACAATATTTCATCTTTTTAAGTGTTTTATTTTAAATGTATTTATTTATTTTTAAGATTTAATTGATTCTTAGCTTTTCATCAACTTACAAACCCAAACACACAGTTTTTTGGAATCTCTGTTCTAGTGCAATGACAATATAAAGGCCAGTTATTTCTTTTGGAAATGTATAATATTACACTGTATAATATTATCACACAGTATAAATTAGACTTTATTCAGGAAAATATAGCTGTTTTTATATTTCAGAAAGCTGCATGATGCCCTTAATTTGAGCTTCTGCTTAATGTGAAAACAAAATTATTTTCAGTATTAACATGACTGTGGTCAGACAGGAATTTACAAGTCAAACTGCAACTTTCAGTAATTCCATGCATTTCAAGCAAACCAGTTTGAGTTCAGAAGTGCAATATAAATTCTCAGCAGCGTTCAGACCTTGATGTAGAGCAGGTCAGAGGCGGCTCTCACGGAGTAGTCTGGCACGTAGACCTGCAGGAAGGAGTTGAGCTGGTTGTTGCTGCTGCCCAGCGTGGGAGTGACCGCCTCCAGCCGGTCACTCCTGTTCAGGGAGTCCGAGTGGTTGAGTCCGAACGGTCGTGGAGGTGACTTATTTTCTGTATAGCAAATAAAGGGTAACATGCAGGTCAGTGGTCAGCTGCTGTGATGTAAACAAATGAAACAAAAGATTCTTGTCTGATGTTCCATTCATTTTGGATGCCCCGTCTCTTCTCATGAACCGTGCTGTGGAATTCTTTAAACACAAAAGTTGAGCTTCATTTATTTACGATCCAAATTGTGATGTAGCAGCCATTTAACATGACTTAGATCTTCCTCTGCTAGAAATCCAGCAAGGATTTGCTTACACAGCCAAATAATGAACATAAATAAGGAAAAACAACCATTAACAAATGACTTCTAAACCTCTTTTGGCACTACCTTTTGTTTTGCTGATAAAACAATGGATATAATCCATTCCCTTTTTACACGTTTACAAACTTCACCAGAAAGTGACAATTAAGATTAGAACATCTGCTTAATAACTCACACGTAACGCAAGGTGAAGAGTTTTTCATCAAAATAAGATTAGGTTCTCCACTTCTTAAAGAAACCGTTCAAAGGGTGTCTGTAGGGAAGCAGTCCAACAGCCATTACACTGGAATGTATACTATATAATCCCAGGGTCAAATATCTAACCGTGTGGATTTTTTCAATTTTTTTTTAACTAATATTGTAATATATTGTTAAATACATTAATATATTGTTAAATATTATTACAATTTAAAGTTCAAAGGGTGTCTGTAGGGAAGCAGTCCAACAGCCATTACACTGGAATGTATACTATATAATCCCAGGGTCAAATATCTAACCGTGTGGATTTTTTCAATTTAGAAAAATATACACAACCAATTTGCTTCATATGAACATTTTTTTATCAAACAACAAATGGTTTGTACAATAGCATTAAAAACGTTTAGGTTGGTAAGATTGTTTTTATGTTTTTGAAAGAAGTCACCAAGACTGCATGTATCAGATAAAATTTTTTTTAACTAATATTGTAATATATTGTTAAATACATTAATATATTGTTAAATATTATTACAATTTAAAATAACCTTTTTCTAATTTAATATATTTTAAAACAATTTATTCTTGTGACAACAAATATTTAGCAGCCATTACCCCAGTCTTCAGTTTCACATGATCCTTTAGAAATCATTATAATATGCTGATTTGGTGCTGAAGAAACATTTCTTATTATTATCAATTTTGAAAACAGTTAATCAGATCATTGCTTATAGGCTCCCATGACCATTATCAGACCACTGACAGTTACTTTGTCAAAGAAAATGAGGACCTTGAACAGGGAAAACTCTTAATGCAACATTCCAATCTTCAGATTCTAATGTGAAAGAGAGGATTCAATGGAAGGAATGAAAAGGGGTGAAGAAACGAGTGCGGTACCTGGAGATCCTGCCAGCGATTCTGCCCTGCTCACAACAAAGGTTCGAGACAAGGAGAGAGGAACTGTAGAGCAAGAGGAAGCGAGGGAGAAATAAAGGGAAAAGAAGAGAAAGACAAAAGGAAATCATGGGGAAGAAAATAAGATTTACACAGAATTCCATCAAGAATCAAAAGAGTAATCATTTGCATTTACATAATGTGATTGATTAAAGAGAGTCAGAAGCATGTGTAATAAATCTGAGAGCAAACAACAACATTATGCATGATTTGGTAGAAAGAGTTGTATAAAATGAAGAAATCAACCATACGAAAGAGTGTAAAAACATCAGAGATGAGATTCTTTCTTTCATGACCAAATATCGTACATTTCATAAAATCATCAGTTATTTTCATAAAAATCCTGACATTTAGGGGGGGGG